TGGTAAAGTTTAATACCTCACTGCAAAACTGATATTATACTCTTTACAAACAAGATTAGGATACTAATTAAATGTATGAATTTAGGCTGAGCTGGTGGCTCAAGCCTATAATCCCAGCACTTTGGGAGGCTAAAGTGGGTGGATTGCTTGAGTGTGAGACCAAGCTGGGCAACACAGCAAAACCCTGTCTGTATACAAAAATACAAAAATTAGCCAGGCACTGTGGCATGCACCTGTAGTCTCAGCTACTTGGGAGGCTGAGGCGGGGGGAATCACTTAAGCCTCGGAGGTGGTGGTTGCAGTGAGCTGTGTTTTTGCCACTACATTCCAGCCTGGGTGACAGAGTTAGACCCTCTCTCTCAAAAAAAGTATAAATTCACATGTACATGACTTAAAAATCGTAATTCAGGCCAGGCGCAGAGGCTCACGCCTATAATCCCAGCAGTTTGGGAGGCTGAAGCGGGCGGTACATGAGGTCAAGAGATTGAGACCATCCTGGCTAACATGGTGAAACCCTGTCTCTATGAAAAAATACAAAAATTAGCTAGTGGTGGCGTGCACCTGTAGTCCCAGCTACTCTGGAGGCTGAGGCAGCAGAATCGCTTGAACCTGGGAGGTGGAGATTGCAGTGAGCCAAGATCGCACCACTGCACTCCAGCCTGGGTGACAAGCAAAACTCCACCTCCAAAAAAAAAAAAAAAATCATAATTCATTAATGATATGGAGCATGAACTACAATGGGTCATGAAGATATTCATTTTCATACACGGTAAGATTAACTTTGAGCTTTTTGTACGAAAACATCTACTTTATGAACTTAAATCTGGCTAAAACCACTGAATTAAATTTTCACATTTATGAGAATTATCATAGTTAATCATTAAAAAAAAACCCTCACTCAATCCATGAAAATACTCAGAAAACAATACTGAAAACGTAGGCTCCCAAGTCATCACATCACAAATAAAGCTATTATTACCTGTGCCTAAATTAAGGGCAGTGCCGAAAATAAAGAAAACTGATTACTCACGATGGTCATAAAACCCATGCCAGTCGGAAGTGACACTTGGACCCCAGTTACTCCACAGAGAACTACAATGTACAAGTTAATGGCAACAGGATTATATCTGATTCCCTTTTCCCCCAGTATGAGAGCATCAGGGTCTCACTAAGGGTGACAGGTCACCATGTTCGGCTGTCTCTTTCTTTGGTCACAATGCAAAGACAATATTCAGTGGAATTTACAAAGGGCTAGTTTGTTTATGAATAGGCTCCCACAGAGGTTTTCAAATTGCTTGGTGCAGCTCCTTGAAGGGATAGGGATCCAGGAGTGCTAACTGTGGGGGAGCAGTGGAGAGTCCATATAAATATATATTTATGTGTATGAATTCATAGAGAGACGCATTCAAGGATGGGTAATAAACTGTTAATGGGTAAACATCTCAGGATAGAAGAATTTCAAGTGAACTTTCTCTTTAATCTCAAATTATTTTCAATGAGAATATGTAACTTGTTTTTCATCACAGGAGGGAAAACTAAGAAAAAGTTGACTACGACAAGAGTCTGAGACAATCCAGGAAAAGGCCTCCAGGTATAGAAACATGCCCAGATTCCTTAAGAGTGCAGGACATCAACCCCACTGGAGGGTCTGCAGACTCAGAGGCATAGAGGAAAATCAAGGGGGAGTCAAGAGGAGGAAACTGATGAAAGCCAAAGTGAATCAACTATTTGAGTGAAAACCCCCAGGGCTGAATAACAGTGTATCTCCCAGCTGCAGAGATAATGTGGTTCCCATCATCACATCAGGGTAGGACGGGGGGGTATGAATGTTGGCAGCATAGTGTTTCACACGAATGTACTCACTTGGCCTGAATCTTAAAAAGAAAATGACCCAAACAAAGACATCACAGGTCAGAATTTGAAAAGATAGCCAGGAACAAAATTTCTGTTTAGTGGTAATTTTACAAAGCAGACTTTCTAGAAAGCTAATTTTCAAATTTGTAGGGGGAGGGTAAGAAAGCATGCTATGTATTAGATTAAGCTATTCAAAAAAGATATATTTCTAGTTAGCTTCAGTTCAGCATTAGTCTTTTAAATAAAAATTCATAGTTCAAGTTTGATGGTTATAGCCACATGCAAACTTTTTTTAAGTATAATTAATGCTATAATGAAGACTCATCTATTAAGAATGGATTAGAGTAGCTAATATTCTCCAGGAGAAGGTAGAGGGGTATCATAGATGAGCATGCCATATATTCTAAAACGTTCCTTGAAAATGTTTAAAACAAACCCACATTTAAAGCACTTCTATTACTGAGAAAATTAAGTCAAATATAATGCTAAATAATTGGGGCATGGCTTTACTAATACTACTAGTTGAGTGGTGTATAATACTGCAGAACAAGGGAATTTCTAATTGATTTGGTCTAGTTTGAGCTAATTATCAAAACCAAAATTATTCAAACTTCTACAGTGTTAATTGATTCAGTATATTATACAATCTAATTTATAACTGTAGCCTCTCTCTTAAGAGTATCCAACTCTTGAACTCTCTCAAATTGCTAAACACTTTCCTATATTCAAACAACGCAGGGCCTTGAGACTTTTGGGTGCTGCCTTGTGGCAAATGTGGCCCCTGCCCTCATGGACACACAATCTGGAGCAAGGGAGGGAAGTCAAAACGCTAGAATGTTAGAAAACCATCAATTTTATATGTGAACACTAATACTAGTACTATAACATGTATCATATGTACAGTCAGGCCAGCCTGTGTCACCCGACAAAAGTGTCCAGTCAGAAAGTTGGAACCAGTATTTCTCAGGCAATGAATTTTGGTTTGAATCAGTGATAATGAAGAATCTGAGAAAAACGTAAACCTTGATGCTGCTAATATTCATCAATGAATTACCTAGCAGTACTGTTAAATTATTTGTAATTCAAAAAGCCTCTTTTGTTTGGAAAGACATTAATTATTACTACAACCCATTCTAAGGCTAGCTAGTAGTTACTGATAAACTGTACCCAAAGGAACAGTATTTTAGAGGATACAGAAGGATAAGAGAAAAATCCAGTAGCGTTTGGAGTTACCAATGAAAATTCTCAACAGAGGCCGGGCATGGTGGCTCACGCCTGTAATCCCAGCACTTCAGGAGACCAAGGAGGGGGCGGATCATTTGAGGTCAGGAGTTCAAGATCAACCTGGCCAACATGGTGAAACCCTGTCTCTACCAAAAAATACAAAAAATTAGCCAAGTGTGGCCATGCACGCCTGTAATCCCAAATTACAGGGTGGGGGTGGGGTGATGCTGAGGCAGGAGAATCACTTGAACCTAAGGGTGCGGAGGTTGCAGTGAGCCCGAGATCACGCCACTGTACTCCAGCCTGGGCGACAGAGCAAGGCTCCATCTCAAAAAAAAAAAAAAAAAAAAGGAAAAGAAAATTCTCATCAGAACAGTAATAGAAAATAATAGCTCTGCATAAAGTGGTGGGACAATGTAATTCACAATCACTATTCAGTAATACGCAATTTGTCACTACTTGAGGAGAAAACAATGACAATGATGAAGAATATAGCTGGTACTAAATCAGACTGAAAAATTCAAAATGTTAAAACAAAACAAAACAAAAAAGAAATGGATGATCCAGAACAGTTAATTCTATATTTTGAAATGACAATAGTAAGAAACCATTGTTTTTCATTCAAGATCATAAATTCATACACAACTATGTACCATAACCCTTTAGAACCCTTCTGGAAAAGTGTTATGTAAATTCACAGTGCTTCTGAGAGTATAAGAGAGAAAAATGTCCTCTTTGCTATGCTGCTCATGTGACTCTAGTCTAGAGGCTTGGAGACCTGGGCTCCCTCAAGTCTTGTTTTTACCATTAACTGGTTCTTAAGCAAGAACCAGCCTCTTAATTCACACTAGGAGATGATCTGTAAACGAATTCCTTTCCTGTTCAACTATGAAGTTCAAATGAGATAATATATATAACCTTAACTTTGAAAACTATAGATGTCTCACAAAAGCACAGTATTACCTGTGAGAGTGCATGTGTCTACATGTACAGTTGTGTACATGTGATGGTCCAGTGGAAAATAAAAACTTCAGAATAACAGTTATAGTAAACCTGTACTGAGCACCAGTTATATGGTAGGTACTGAGCCATTTTCCTGCATGATCTCAATTAGTCTTTTTTCTTTTACATTTTATTTTTAATTGACAAATAATTGTATTAAGTCTTTGTAACAGCTTTATGAGGTATGAACCATTCACTACCTTTCTCATTTTAAATACGAGATACCTGAAGCCTAAAGAAGTGAAGTAACTTGTCCCAAATTAAACAGAGCTAGTGTATGTGACTCCTGAGTGTATGCTCTTAACCACTGGGAAATAACTAAACATACAGGTATAAAATGAAGAGGCTTGGAGTGTGGCTTTCCGTTTGTTCATTCTGAATCTCCAGCACATCACAGGAGTGCCTGAGTTACAGCGAGAAATGTGTGTGTTTCCACCAACACCTTTTATGATAACCAGCAAATTCTGGACTTGAAAGATAAAAAGAGAAATCTTTTACATATCAATAAGCAAAGAGGGAATCCAGAAAGAATGTACCCTTTTTATTATAAAGGATAGTTGGCAATGAGAAACTGGAACCTTAAAAAAATGCAGACATCCTTTCATTGTTCCTATTCAAACTGAATCAACTTTATCAGTTCAATCCTGTTTGGTGGAAATCAAACCAAAAGAAAATGTAAAAGCATTGCTTGGAAAGCTAATATAACATTCTTCAGGCATTTCTGATTAACCAAATGCCAATGAGATGTGGATGTAAAACCAGTGATAAATGAGGAATTTCACAATGAATAATAAAAAATAGTTTCAAAGGCAGGCTTAGATTCTCGTTTTTTAACCATCAATTAAAAAAAAAAAGTCATCCTGACCATAAAAATTTTGGTACCACCATATATGTACCCCCCTAAACATTAATAAACTTACCTTTGGTTTTTTGATCAGCAGCCTGAAAAAAAAAAAAAAGAAAGAAACTCTTTAGGAATAATGTGTAGAATGTACACATCTATGAAAGTTTATAAGCAAACTTTTAGTATTGAAAATTTTTAAAATGAGTTTTTGCCCAGTTAATTTATGACAATTTATTAGTGGGAAAAATGTGTAACTGTCTACATGCCGTTGATTTCATATCAATATTAATCTAAAGGCACAAAATTCTATCTGGAGCTCATTTAAACTCTGTAATTTTAACAGGCTCTAACAGGTATACAGTTTAAACTACAAGATACATTAAACTAGGTAAGAACAAAGACAAATGGCATAACTTGGTATTTTATAAGCCAAAAAATTCAAGCTTGACTATAAAGTTTACAGGAGGGCTTTTATTTTTAATTTTTACTAATAGGATTCATAAAAGAACATTTGCCAAAGCTGCAAAAACAAACAAACAAACAAACAAACAACATTTCTAGCTTTTCTAATAAGATCAGTTGAATGGCCCTTTCTTCATTTATTAGACATGGTTGTTCAGGGCAGTTCATTTTAAGTAGAACAACATGGACACATGTTACTACCAGCAACTAAAACACAGCTTCCTTAAAACACAGCTCTAACACTTCCACTTCCAAGTTAGACATTTATGGTTGTCACCTGTATTTATTTCACTGGTAGAATATCTATTATTTGATAATTATAGACTTGGCGTATTGATTTAAAATGTAACAGAATGAAACCTTGTCATGTAATGGCTATGATGATGCAAATGAGACACACAATGATACAAAGACAATGAAGTAGGAACTTCAGCCAAACCTTTTTCTGAGCACCTTCCTTCTTTTTCTTTTCTTCCTGCTTTTTCTTTTTCTTTTCTTCCATCAAACGTTCCTCTTCTTGTGTTTCTTGCTCTTTCTCCCTATTAAATACAAAGAAAACTAGTATAAGTTTGATGATCATGTTAAGTCAAACAATGAAAAAGTATTAGCCGCTTCAAGTCTTAAGTCAGAATTTCGCATATGGAATACAGAAGGACCCTCTGAAAAGGTGCTAGAAAGGGACACTTCCCTAACAGCACTGCAGGTTGCCCTGACTTCTTCAGTAGCCAGCTGTCTCATTCATTCAGCCCACATTGTTGAACACTAACCCATCATCAGGCATTGCTGGGGATAAAGGCATGATATGGAGTAAGATACAACTCCTACACTCAAATAGTCTGTATTTGAGAAACACAGACCAGTATTACTCAAAGTACTATCTCAGGGACCACCATCATTAGAATCATCAGGGTACCTATTAAAAAACATAGATTCCTAGTTTCCACCTTAGCAAAACCAAATCAGAATCTTTGGAGGTGATTCTTATGCACGCTATAATTATGTTTGTTTGATAAGCCAATTTTATTAAAAATAAAGATTCCACACAGCATGGTGAGCTAGTATAAAGATACACTGGGACACAACATAGAGCAATTCTGCTCAGAAGGGGTCACAGCAGCCTATGAGCTAGTGCTGAAAACCTGTAAAGGAGTTTGGCTGGATAGGGTGTTATGTCAGTGACCGAGTCATCGACTATTTGCTCCAAAGTCACCCTTAAACACTTGCTCTGCAATAATGATGGAGTTCCTTTAAACAAATCTCCTTTCAGTGAGTACAACATGGAGCTTTCTCAGTAGAGGGCACCCTAGGGACACTGCAGGACGAAGGTGCCCTTCTGCTGTTTCTAGCTGCTGGGGGAAGTGGGGGTAGGCGTGTGGGTGTGAGGCCACCCTGCCACGGCTCCAGCCATGGGCCCAGCATGGGCGGTTTCTCAGCAACCTTGTGGCTCTGGTGTGGTCTAGTGTCATCTTCTCATGACCATATCAACACAGACACTGTGGGCTCAGGTCTTCTGTCACTCACCCCATCCACAGATTTGTCCCTTGTGATCCTCCCTAGCCTTGGGGAGGGGCCTCCTTCCAAAGTTGGTCCTTCCCTGGACACTTTCCTCAGGCCTAGGTACCATATAGTTTTCTATAGCTACCCTTTTATCACAGTTTAATTATTCCTTAAATCAAACTTTCCTTGTCTATATCACTGTGTAGTTTCTAAATCCTAGTTGGACCCAGACTGATACAGACAGGAAGGATTTAACACACTATGCAGAAGTAAAAACATACACAAAAGTCTCAGCAAAACATCATCATCCACCCATGAATGTTTTGAATTTATTAATTTTGGAGTTTTTAATTTGTAAATGTGTTTTCTATACAACTACATGCATAAGGAATTTCAATCTAGTGTCAGCTAATCCATATTTAAATAACTATCATAAGAAAAATTTAAATTACATGGTGGTGGGTGTGTCTTAATGAATATTTTTCTTTAAACAGTGGTTCTCAGTCTTTGTCCTTCAGAATTACCTGAAGAGCTTCAAAAATCTCCAATGGCTGCAACCCATGCCAGGGAAATCTCTGGGAAAGGAACTCGAGCACTGGCAGTTTTTAAAGCTTCCAGATGTGACTCCATTTTCAATCAAGGTTGAGAAAACACTGTTTTTAAAGGAGGTGTGCACGTGTATCCAGTTTGGAAAATGATTATTCATTATATTAGATGATACCTTCCAGGGATGTTTTCATGCTAAATGGCACAGAGACACCAAGAAATCTGCACTTATAGCCTTCTTATAAGGGACAGGCAACCCCTGTGAGTGATGGTTTTGCTATTATCAGGCTGAAGCTAAAATCTAGGGAAAAAGTGAACAAAAACCAAGCACATAGTAACTGGCCACTGCTATTGTTATATTTTCTTAATCTACAGCACAATAAGACCCTTAAGCTACCTCCCAATATTACACTTAATAAAGTAGACAATATAAGCTAACTTTTAAAAGATATTTAATAAATGGAATAAACATGATTTTTGCTTAATTCTATTAATCTACAAAGTAGTTAGAGCTAGCTATTCCCTCAGCAACACAGTTCAGATTTTACTTTAATGGTAAAATAGAATGTTGTAAATAAAGAGCCCAAGTAGCCATGAGATCTCACACTTTCTTACCTGTGTTCATGTTTATATGACAAAGCCTAATTCAGATATTTGCTCTTTAACAAAGTTTCTCTAATGTACCCCTAGCTGCTTAGCAGTAATCTCTTCTAGCTCCAATCCTGTGTTCAATTTCTGCTATTTTTCATTAATAATTTTTTAAAATATCAACATCTAATCACATTTTTACTTTATAAATAGAGTTTTGGGTATCTTTAAGAAACTTATATGATTATTTTTCACTTAATGATATACTGCAGTATGCATGGGGAGGCTAAGTTTGCTCACATCTCTACATGATACGCTTAATGCTATTTCTTGATTCATTTTTAATTTTTATTTTATTTTTTTGAGACAGAGTCTCACTCTGTCACCCAGGCTGGAGTGCAGTAGCACAATCTTGGCTCACTGCAACCTCTAACTCCTGGGCTTAAGCTATCATCCGACCTTGGCCTCCCAAGTAGCTGCGGTTACAGGTGGGCGCCACCACACCCAGCTAATTTTTGTATTTTTGTAAAGACGAGGTTTCTCCATGTTGCTCAGGCTAGTCTCAAACTTCTAACTCAAGTGATCCACCCACCTCGGCCTCCCAAAGTGCTGGGATTACAGGTGTGAGCCACCAAATCCGGCCTAATCTGAGACCTTAACAGTTTAATTCCTGTAATGATGACTGTGGATTTGGCTCTTATATCACACTCATCACTATTTTTAGTTAAATTAATAAACGGCATCTACTTTATAAAGAATATGCAAATGTGGTTGGGTGCTGTGGCTCACGTTTGTAATCCCAGCACTTTGGGAGACCGAGGTGGGCAGATCACTTGAGACCAGCCTGGCCAACATGGCAAAACCCCATCTCTACTAAAAATACAAAAATTAGCCAGACGTGGTGGTGCCTGCCTGTAGTCCCAGCTACTTGGGAGGCTGAGGCAGGAGAATCACTTGAACTGGGAGGTGGAGGTTGCAGTGAGCTGAGATCACACCACTCCACTCCAGAGGGAGACTCCATCTAAAAAAATATGTAAATGTTTGCTACAGAACTACGTAGTATACTGTGATTACATTTTATTTTTTGTGTAACTTTTTTCTACAGCTCCAAATTGTTCCTTCTTTTCCTCTGTTTTCCTGGCAAAAATTGTTTTTGTTTTTTATGCCTCTCTTCTCACCTCAAGTTAAAAACAGCACTCTTAGACCCCCTTTCCAGAGGCTTCAGCGCAGCTCTGTCTGGGGTGGGAGCACTCTGCTAGAGCTTTCTTACAGCCTGAAGTTACATTTCTTTGTAGTAAAATAGATATTACATAACACTTACCATCTTAAGCATTTTAAAATATAAGTTCATTAGTGCTATATTCACATTGTTGTACAACCAATCTCCAGAACTCTTTTCATCTTGCAAAACTGAAACTCTGTCCCTATTAAACAGCAACTCTCCATTCCCCTCTCCCCAGCCACCACTCTACTTTGTCTCTATAAATTTGACTACTCCAGGGACCTCACTGTGGTTCTGAGTTGCAATTCCTTAATGTTTAGTGACATTGAGCATCTTTTCATATGTAGTTGGCCATTTGCATATTTTTAAAGGAGTCTATAGTTATTCTCTTATCATAAAACTTCCGTTTGGATCACTGCATGATTTCTATCCAACCCAGGCTGATACAGTGGAAAGGTGGAACAGATTAAGCAGGAGCAATGGTACATATAACAGACATCATCACCCACCCATTAATGTTGATACAAATTTCTTAACTCAGTCATCCCATGACTACTTCTCCTTGATTTACTCCCTCAATTCGGTGAAAAACATTCAAGTATCTTTTCCAGAAAGGGTGGGGGGAAGTCAATTTTTAGAGGCAATGCATGTCTAAAGATAGTTTCAGGGTACCTTTCTATGTGACTGGTGGCTTGGCTTGGCTGAGTATAAACACTCCAGGCTGAAGGTCAGTTTTGAAGACCTGGTGTCACTGTATGCTAGCATCCAGTCACATTCAAGAGAAATATGATGTCATTCTGCTTTTCAGTCCTTTTTAGGTGATTTTTTTTTTCTTTTTTTAAGACAGGGTCTTGCTCTCTGACCCAGGTTAGAGTATGGCTCACTGCAGTCTCAACCTCCTGGACTCAAGTGATCCTCACCTCAGTCTTCTGAATAGCTGGGACTACAGGTGTGCGCCACCACATCCAGCTAATTTTTAAATTTTTCGTAGAGATGGGGTCTTGCTATGTTGCCCAGTCTGGTCTCAAATTCCTGGGCTCAAGCAATCTCCTGCCCTGGCCTCCCAAAGTGCTGGGATTACCAGTGTGAGGCACCAAGCCTGGCCATGCTTTATTTTTTCCACTTGATCCCTAGGGTTCTGAAATTCCAGGGTGATGTGTCTTTTCTCCCCCATTATTTGTGTGTGGCATTTGGCTGATGCTTTTAGCTCATACCTTTCAGTTCTTTATTTTCTTGAAAACACCTTCCTTCTGTTTCTAAATAACAACATACTGAACCTCCTGGATATGATCACCTGTAACTGTGTTGTTTCTCTTATGTTTTCTACTCTTTTTTAATTGGTGCTTCTATCTTGAGGGTGCTTGATTCAACTTGATCTTCTAATCCTTCTGCTGAGTTTTTTATTGTGATGTTTAAAATTGTTAACTTTCTTGTGCTCTTGAATGCTCCTTTTCCACAACACCCTCTTCTTGTTTTAGGTAAGCAAAATCATCTCTATTATTTTCTCTGAAAATCTTCTAAGTTTTCTGCATATCTTTGTTCCTTCCCTGGATGCCTCTTCCCTTAGATTCTCTCTGATCTGAAAGCCTTTCCACAACTCTGTAGTAATCCTTGGTTGTCTGTTCAGGCACTGAAATACCAATTAGGGGCTTTGTATGTATGGGCTGGATTTCCTCCACGGTGGGT